TTTCCTGGCATATTATATAAATGGAATCATACACTACATAGTCCTCTTTTGAGACTGGCTTCTTTCAGCCAAGCTGAGTGAAAGATTCATCTAAGTTTTAACATGTATCAATAGTTACCCCTTAAAAAACTTTAATTTTGAAGTATTTCTTAAAAAACAATGTGTGAACCTGAATTTTTCTTATAGAACTGTGTTTGACTCTGTTTTTTTTTAAATTATTTGAAAGTGAAATAAATGATACTTCTGTGGAAAAAGTACTTCCCCTGATTGATAACAACTGTGTGTCTGTGTATATCAAGTTGTTTTTCTCTATGAAGGGGGTGGTCATTGGTAGGGGAGGTTCCTGTTTTCAGTAGTGTGCGTGTAGAGTTGTAGCAGAGCCCTGATTTGGAAAACAGGCTGTTTAAACAGTTTCTAAAATGTGCTGTGAAGATAGGAACACCAGCTGGTTGCTTGCCCAGGCCTTTCCCTGCTTAGCACTGAAAGCCTGGCTGCCCCAGTCAACCCAGGATCTGAATGAGCTACATGAAGTTTGAGGATTCCAGTTAATCAGATTTTATTAATCAACCATCAGATAAATATTCTGACTAATCTTGCCATCAGGGTGCTTAAAATCAAAATCTCTTAAGGTAATCAGAACTCAAGACATGAGTTTTTTAGGTTAGGATCCACACCTTGAATTTAAGGACTAGTGTTTCTTCAGTGGTTTAGATTTGACTGGAAGCATGTTCATTTTTGTTAGTTTGTCCTCTATAAGTCTTCATTTAATGAGTTCAAGAAGTGCTCTAGTCGATATTTTTATATTAGTATTTTTTAAAAGTTTGTTATGGTAAGTAAATTTCCAAGTCTCTTGTAGAAACTAAATTAAATCAAGTTTAGACTTACCCAGAATCTCTTCTAAGTTTTTCAATTCAAGTAGTGATATCTAAACCTCAGATAAACTAGGTTCTTTAGTTATTGTGTTCCCCTTTCTTGACTTTTCATACCACTCTTCTACCTCTTCCCAGAGCATCTATGTCTTTAATGAGATAAGTCAATTTTCTTGTTTTCCTGCTGCCTTCATTAGAATGTAAGCTTCATGAAAGTAGGGGCCCTTTCTGTCATCTTCACCACTGTATCTTAGAGCCAAGAAGTAACCCATCATAGCTTCTGAATAAGTATTGTTTGAAAGAATGATTATCTCTGTGAGTAGGTTTTACATCCTGCATGCAGTCCAGCCTATTTTATTATTACGTCTAGGGGGACGTTGAAACATTTTGTTTTTTGAAGGAACCTTTAAATCTGTGTTTTGTTTCAAATTGTGCAGGAGTGAGAATGTAGCCTTTTAAAAAATCCTGTTTTTGTTAACCCGCTGTGAGGAAATCTCCCTTGAGGAAAGGGAATTTGGAAGAGAAACCTTAATTCTTCCTTAAAAATGGCCAATTCATAACCAATGGAAAGAGCTGAAAGTAAATAGATCTGGACTGGAGGTACTTGAAAAAATTCCTCTTCTCATCCTCATTACCTCCCATCACACAGTGTCACAATTTGTAGAGGCAGGGAGATGAGAATATGGATTGATTAGGGAAAGGAGAAATGAGTCCCTGAAATTTAGTGTACTTAGTACATTAAGTGGAGGAAGAGGGTGCTAATGAATTATTTAAAATCTGTTTGGACTATAAACCAATAAATAGGCTCTAAGGTGGTGGTTCTCAGAGTTTAGTAAGCCTAAGAATCTCTTGGAGAGTTGTAAAAAACATTGGTAACTGCAGCCTTAGGTTCTGATTGTAGAACACAGGAATGAGTAATCGTTGACACCCAGCTATTTGCTGAAGCAGTTGGTCTGATCACCGTACTTTGGAAAAACTGCTCTAAGTGGTAGAAAGACAGGACAGTAAAAATAGGAGAAAATGATTATTTTTGTCAAAACATGGGAATACTAGAAGCAGTATGTTGATTTTCTACAAAGAAACATTTCTGCCTCTTGACTGCTATAGTTTCCTTCGCAGGCACCCCAGAATGCCTGCTGGCAGCTGCTTGGTATATGTAAAATGTGCAGTTTAAAGAGCCTTTAAAGCAGTGGAAATACTGCTTTATATTTAAATGAACCACTTCATCCATTCTGGTGTAGGATTCACTAACATCCATCTTTAAGTCTCAGTCTTGATGTTTCTGAACTATCTGTTCAAAGTGGGGGAGCCTTGGGGTTTGATTCAGTCTCCATTTAACCTCAAATCCTTTGTGGATTTTGACCTGAGGTGGTGCTGTTATTAAACCCATTTTACAGATGAGGAAAGCTGAGGCCCAGAGAGGTTCAGTGATTTGCCCAAGCTGGTGCAGCTACTTAAGTGGTGGTGGGAACAGGAATTCAAATCCAGTTAGGTTTTAACCACTGTACTCTCATGAGTGCTAGAAATTTGATACACTTTGAGGAGCGCTTCCAGAGCCACTGGAGAATATACTTAAATTGGGCTCTCCTCAATATTCTGGTATGATTTCTTGGTCATTTTGTTTTTAGGGAAGTGACATTGAAAACAAACTTTTTTCTTGTGTCATACCTAAAAATTTAAAAACTTCTATAACTTAAATAGAAGCTATTATAAATTTAAGTACTTGAAAAAGGTGTACTTTCTGATATAAACATTGATATTGAAATATAAAGCTATTGCCCAGGGGCGTGGCTCAGCAGTTGAACATTGACCTAGGATCCAGGAGATGTGTTTGATTCCTGGTCAGGGCACATGCCCCAGTTGTGGGCTCGATCCCCAGTTGGGGGCACGTAGAAGGCAGCCGATCAATGACTCTCATCTTTGATGTTTCTGTCTCCCTCTCCCTTCCTCTCTCTGAAATCAATAAGGACATTAAAAAAAAAATTAAATATAAAGCTACTTTTGGCTCAGTTGGAGCATCGTCCTGTACACCAAAAGGTGGGGGGTTCGATTCCCAGTCAGGGCACATAGTAGGTTGCAGGTTCGATCTCCAGTCGGGCAGCGTATGAGAGGCAACCGATGTATGTTTCTCTCTAAAAATCAGTGATGATAAAAAAGCTATTATATCTAAGGTATCTAGTGGGGAATGTAATACTATGATCCAGTTAAACATAAGTAAATGGTTCAAATTTAACATTGCTCCTTTTTCTCCCTGAAAACCTGTATGTTACATTTCTACCACAAAACATTATCCTAGTACATTTTTATGCTTAAAGGCCTTATCATCTTTATTTCTTTGCAGCATATTTGTATATGTTGAAATGTTAAATTTTAATTTGCCATGACCATAAGGCACCAAATGTTCATGTTCTTTTTTGGTATTAAAATTGTTATAACAACACAGTTGACCCATATAGCAAATTGTTCACATTGATATTGGAGTAAAATTTTATTGGAAATTCCCCTTACTAGGTGGGTATAACATGGTCTCAGTTAAAGGAGGCTTGTTTGACCAGTATTTCAAATTGTCCTCCTGTTTGGCTTCCCAAAGGTTTTAACACATAGGCTAAATATACTTAAAGGTTTTTAAATATAGTGGACACCAAACTCATATTGAAGCTGGGCGATAGGTGCCTTCTGTACAGTGTGAGAAGGGAAGATGGGAAAGGAGAACAGGCTTGATAGATGGATTGCAGGTGTGTGCACGGCACAGCAGTTTTATGGAGGTGCTTATATGGAACTTGATCTAGAAAGCAGTTCTTGAACTATCTAAGCCTACATGCTCCTTGGATAGTCTTTGATGCCCTTGGGGTATAAATACCTGAGGTAGAAGACTGCTACTTGAGAACTCTTGCCATGTGCTGCAAGACACCAGCACAGCAAAGTAAAAGTCATTGGTAAGTGTATAGATGTGTATTCTCTTGGTGGAGTACTATAGAACAGTTAAACAAGTTGCAAAATAATAGTGTCCCATTTTTGAAGTGAATAATCCTCTTCACCAAGTATAGAATGCATGAAACAAAATAGAACATTTAAATCCACTGTGGTGGGACGGGCAGTGGGGCAGTGATACAGGAAAATAAGGCAAATGAAGATGAAGATAAGGACTTAGCATTTGCCTTTTTAAAAATGTGTGTTTATTCATTTTG